AAAAACTGGGTGAGCTTCTACCAGAAACTTCCGTAGAAGCATTATGAGCTTCTGGTGGAAGCGATATTAGCTTTTAGGAGAAGCTTTCTAAGCTTCTGGGAGAACCGATCTTAGCTTCTGAGAGAACCGATCTTAGCTTTTGGGAAAAGCTTTCTAAGCTTCTGGTAGAAGCTTTTTTAACTTATGGGAGAAGCTTTCTAAGCTTCTGGGAGAAGCTTTTTAAGCTTCTGGGAGAAGCTTTCTAAGCTTCTGGGAGAAGCTTTCTAAGCTTCTGGGAGAAGCTTTCTAAGCTTCTGGGAGAAGCTTTCTAAGCTTCTGGGAGAAGCTTTCGAAGCTTCTGGGAGAAGCTTTCGAAGCTTCTGGGAGAAGCTTTCTAAGCTTCTGGGAGAAGCTTTCTAAGCTTCTGGGAGAAGCTTTCTAAGCTTCTGGGAGAAGCTTTCTAAGCTTCTGGGAGAAGCTTTCTAAGCTTCTGGGAGAAGCTTTCTAAGCTTCTGGGAGAAGCGTTCTAAGCTTCTGGGAGAAGCTTTCTAAGCTTCTGGTAGAAGCTTTTTAAGCTTATGGGAGAAGCTTTCTAAGCTTCTGGGAGAAGCTTTCTAAGCTTCTGGGAGAAGCTTTCTAAGCTTCTGGGAGAAGCTTTCAAAGCTTCTGGGAGAAGCTTTCTAAGCTTCTGGGAGAAGCTTTCTAAGCTTCTGGGAGAAGCTTTCTAAGCTTCTGGGAGAAGCTTTCTAAGCTTCTGGGAGAAGCTTTCTAAGCTTCTGGGAGAAGCTTTCTAAGCTTCTGGGAGAAGCTTTCTAAGCTTCTGGGAGAAGCGTCCTAAGTTTCTAAGAAAAGCGTTCTGAGCTTCTTGGAGAAGCTTTCTGAGCTTCTTGGAGAAGCTTTCTGAGCTTCTGGGAGAAGCTTTCTAAGCTTCTGGTAGAGGCGTTCTAAGCTTCTGGGAGAAGATTTCTAAGCTTCTGGGAGAAGCTTTCTAAGCTTCTGGGAGAAGCTTACTGAGCTTCTGAAAGGAGCTTTGTGAGTTTCTGGGAGAAGCGTTCTAAGCTTCTGGAAAAGCGTTCTAAGCTTTAAGGAGAAGCGTCCTAAGTTTCTAAGAAAAGCGTTCTAAGCTTCTGGGAGTAGCTTTCCCAGTTTCTGGTAGAAACTTTCCCAGTTTCTGGTAGAAGCTATCCCAGTTTATAAGTTCTAAGTTTCTGAGATAAGCTTTCTAAGCTTCTAGGAGAAGCTTTCTAAGCTTCTGGGAGAAGCTTTCTAAGCTTCTGGGAGAAGCTTTCTAAGCTTCTGGGAGAAGCTTTCTAAGCTTCTGGGAGAAGCTTTCTAAGCTTCTGGGAGAAGTTTTCTAAGCTTCTGGGACAAGCTTTCTAAGCTTCTGGTAGAAGCTTTTTAAGCTTATAGGAGAAGCTTTCTAAGCTTCTGGGAGAAGCTTTCTAAGCTTCTGGGAGAAGCTTTCTAAGCTTCTGGGAGAAGCTTTCTAAGCTTCTGGGAGAAGCTTTCTAAGCTTCTGGGAGAAGCTTTCTAAGCTTCTGGGAGAAGCTTTCTAAGCTTCTGGGAGAAGCTTTCTAAGCTTCTGCGAGAAGCTTTCTAAGCTTCTGGAAGAAGCTTTGTAAGCTTCTGGGAGAAGCTTTCTAAGCTTCTGGGAGAAGCTTTCTAAGCTTCTGGGAGAAGCTTTCTAAGCTTCTGGGAGAAGCTTTCTAAGCTTCTGGGAGAAGCTTTCTAAGCTTCTGGGAGAAGTTTTCTAAGCTTCTGGGACAAGCTTTCTAAGCTTCTGGTAGAAGCTTTTTAAGCTTATGGGACAAGCTTTCTAAGCTTCTGGTAGAAGCTTTTTAAGCTTATGGGAGAAGCTTTCTAAGCTTCTGGGAAAGCTTTTTAAGCTTCTGGGAGAAGCTTTCTAAGCTTCTGGGAGAAGCTTTCTAAGCTTCTGGTAGAAGCTTTTAAGCTTATGGGAGAAGCTTTCTAAGCTTCTGGGAGAAGCTTTTTAAGCTTCTGGGAGAAACTTTCTAAGCTTCTGGGAGAAGCTTTCTAAGCTTCTGGGAGAAGCTTTCTAAGCTTCTGGGAGAAGATTTCTAAGCTTCTGGGAGAAGCTTTCTAAGCTTCTGGGAGAAGCTTTCTAAGCTTCTGGGAGAAGCTTTCTAAGCTTCTGGGAGAAGCTTTCTAAGCTTCTGGGAGAAGCTTTCTAAGCTTCTGGGAGAAGCTTTCTGGGAGAAGCTTTCTAAGCTTCTGGGAGAAGCTTTCTAAGCTTCTGCGAGAAGCTTTCTAAGCTTCTGGGAGAAGCTTTCTAAGCTTCTGGGAGAAGCTTTCTAAGCTTCTGGGAGAAGCTTTCTAAGCTTCTGGGAGAAGCTTTCTAAGCTTCTGGGAGAAGTTTTCTAAGCTTCTGGGACAAGCTTTCTAAGCTTCTGGTAGAAGCTTTTTAAGCTTATGGGACAAGCTTTCTAAGCTTCTGGTAGAAGCTTTTTAAGCTTATGGGAGAAGCTTTCTAAGCTTCTGGGAGAAGCTTTTTAAGCTTATGGGAGAAGCTTTCTAAGCTTCTGGGAGAAGCTTTCTAAGCTTCTGGGAGAAGCTTTCTAAGCTTCTGGGAGAAGCTTTCTAAGCTTCTGGGAGAAGCTTTCTAAGCTTCTGGGAGAAGCTTTCTAAGCTTCTGGGAGAAACTTTCTAAGCTTCTGGGAGAAGCTTTCTAAGCTTCTGGGAGAAGCTTTGTAAGCTTCTGGGAGAAGCTTTCTAAGCTTCTGGGAGAAGCTTTCTAAGCTTCTGGGAGAAGCTTTCTAAGCTTCTGGGAGAAGCTTTCTAAGCTTCTGGGAGAAGCTTTCTAAGCTTCTGGGAGAAGCTTTCTAAGCTTCTGGGAGAAGTTTTCAAAGCTTCTGGGACAAGCTTTCTAAGCTTCTGGTAGAAGCTTTTTAAGCTTATGGGAGAAGCTTTCTAAGCTTCTGGGAGAAGTTTTCTAAGCTTCTGGGAGAAGCTTTCTAAGCTTCTGGGAGAAGCTTTCTAAGCTTCTGGGACAAGCTTTCTAAGCTTCTGGGACAAGCTTTCTAAGCTTCTGGGACAAGCTTTCTAAGCTTCTGGTAGAAGCTTTTTAAGCTTATGGGAGAAGCTTTCTAAGCTTCTGGGAGTTAATATTAATTTAATATTATAGTAACTTTAACGCATTCGTGACTTGTCCGAGGGTGAGATTTGAACTCGTGACTTTGGCGTGAGAGGTATGGATGCTAACCACTACGCCGAGATCATCTTTCCCCCTTTTTAAGCTTCTTGGAGAAGCTTAAGCTTCTGGGAGATGCTTTCTAAGCTTTTAAGAGAAGCTTTCCAATCTTCTGGAGCTGCTTTCTAAGCTTCTGGGAGAAGCTTTCTAAGCTTCTGCGAAAAGCTTCTTAAGATTCTGCGAAAAGCTTATTAAGCTTCTGCGAGAAGCTTTTCCAGCTTCTGGGAGAAGGTTTCCCAGCTTTTGGGAGAAGGTTTCCCAGCTTCTGGGAGAAGCTTTCCCAGCTTCTGGGAGAAGCTTTCCCAGCTTCTGGGAGAAGCTTTCCCAGCTTCTGGGAGAAGCTTTCTAAGTTTCTGGGAGAAACTTTCTAAGCTTCTGAGAGAAGCTTTCCTAGCTTTTTAGAGAAGCTTTCCCAGCTTCTTGGAGAATCTATCTAAGCTTCTGGAGAAGCTTTCTAAACTTATGATAGAAGCTTTATATGCTTCCAGTTGAAGCTTTCTAAACTTCCGGTAGAAGCTTACCTAGCTTCCGATAGAAGCTTTCTATGTTTCTGGTAGAAGTCTTTCCAGCTTCTGGTAGAAGCTTTCCCAACTGCTTCTGGTAGAAGCTTTATAAGCTTCTGATAGAAGCTTTCTGAGCTATCGGTAACAGGTATCTAATCTTCTTATACAAAAAAATTTAAGCTTCTGTTAGCAGCTTTCTAAGCTTGTAGGAGAAGCTTTCTAAGCCTCTGGGAGAAGCTTTCTAAGCTTCAGTAAGAAGCTTTATAGCTTCTGGCAGAAACTTTGTAAACTTCTGGTAGAAGCATTCTATGTTGCCGGTATAATCTTTCTAAGTTTCCGGCAGATGCTTTTTGAGCTTACGACAGAACCTTTCTGAGTTTCTGATAGAAACTTTCCCAAGCTCTGGTAGCAGCGTTCCCAAATTCTGATGTTAGTTTTAAAAACATCTGCTAGAATGGTGCTTTGAGTGTTTTTGGTCAAAGCCTTCCAAGCTTCATTCTCTTTATTCTTCACATGCATGTCTCCATTTATCTGTCAAGAAAAGCTTTCAACTGGCAACCCCCGCCAAAATGCAAATGCATATCTCTGTCACCAGCAGCGTCGTCGTCCATCGGCTATAGGCCAGCAGTGCCGTTCAGTACGATGACTCCAAGCTGTCGCGACTTCCATCTCATCCCTTCTATCCGTCGACGGACGGGTACCAAACTACATCGACCACAACAATAACAACAACAACAAGAATGACGACGATCGAACGCACATCTACCACATACTCACCACTCACTCACCAGCAATGGGAGAGGGGCGGCGGAGGTGTGGGTAAAACATGTTTTGCATAAAATTTGTGTCTACGATGCATCATCATCATCATCATCATCGTCGCCGCCATCGTTGCATCGTTTGCTCATGGTGCTGAATTGTTGGCCCAAACGAGCAGCATATTGATTTGTTTGAAAGGCTGACGACGACGACGACGACCAACTACAACTAGGTACCTATATATGTGGGAGAGTTGGGAGGGTTTGCGTGAATTATGGCTTGTCTTTAATAATTAAGTGCTGGGATTAAGCCATTTTCGAACGGCTATGCCATGCCTATGAGATATGATGACTCGGCTCGGTCGGCTTCGGCCCACATTGTTGATGGGAAATTGATGCACAACGTTGTTGACGTTATGTTGTGTGCCGAACCCAGATACGGAGAGCCGTCCAAGTTTGCTCAATTTGCGGAGAAAATTATTCATAGCCTAATTGAACTGCGATAGCAGGTCAATATGAAGTGGAATCGATTTCAATTAAGCTCAAACTCACCCGTCTTCCGGTAGATCATGTTGGCCCGCTGTACGTGCCGCGTAATCGCCTCGATGCTGGCCTCGGCCGTGCCCATCCTCTGGAAGAACGTATGATCCGCCTGCAGATACAACATGCACGTACTCTTCCGATCGTACAGCGAGTTGGCGAACGATTGCTTCTGCTCGTGCAGCTCGTTCCGGACGTTCAGGTTCAGATTGTTCCCGTTGGTGCCACTGATTGTCACGTCCGGGTTGTAGTTGTTGCCGATGATGTTCTTCTTGGTGGAGCCGTTCTTCGTGATGATCTCCACGTGGGTTTTGTGGTTTGGATTCGAGTTGTTGTTGCTGTTGGCCGCGTTCTGATCGTACTTGTTGCCGATGACGTTACGAGTCCGGGTGATGATCCGCTGGTTCGGATCGCCATTTTGGTTGCTGGTGTTGACGACGAAGTGGTTCTTCCGATTGTTGACCGGCGTCGGTGGATGGAACAGGTTGGTGTTGATGTTCTTGTTCACCGTCTGACCGCTGCCGCCATGGTTCCCACTGGTCCGGGTGATGATCAGGTTCTTGATGTCGTGGTTCCGAGTCAAACTGTACTCATCGTTGTAAGGAACTTCCAAATCCAGCGGAAGCGACGGATTGCCGCGGCTTTCCTGCATCTGTAAAAAAATAAAAAGGAAATTGAAAGGAAATCCGAGTCAAAATGTTATTGAAAATCGTAATGTAATTGAGCACACACACACACAGAGAGAGACTGTATCCGACTGATGCACACAATTTTCAATGAGCTCTAAAAACTGAACTAAAGTGAAGAGCTGAAAGCATCCATCTCCCTTCCTTAAACTTTTCAAATGATCCACTTCGTCTTCTGCATTTCCCAAAGCAGCAGCACACACAATGTCAAGTAATGCAATCTAGAAAATGGAAAATGATTGTACTCCTTTTATTTCCTTAAGCCCACCCACCGTCTCCTGTTTCCCTTGTTCCCTTTTTCCGTTGTCATGCACTTGTGCTTCTTCTTTCATTTTAGTTGCTTTAAAGGGGAGAGGGAGTGGCTAAAATTGAATTCAGTCATTGAAATGTAAATACTTCACTTTCTGGAGGGGTGAGCGGGAAAGTTGCCTTTTGTCGCTGTCTCGTCTCCTGACAGGTAGAAATTGAAAGGCTACCCGAGTAAAAATTTACTTTCATTTGAAGTAATTTTTCGGTTTCCACTCTCGGATTGAAAGAGCCATTGCAATGATGCTGTATGTTCATACAAGTTTCCACAGGTTCACTTTGCTTCGGGTTTGGAATTGAGATGGGACAGGACAAAATGTGCATTTGCTGCTCTTCAGAGTACAACTTAAGTACTTAATTTTTTTTGACGATGACGACGGCTATTCTGTACCCCAACCTGTGATTGCCAATTGATGCAAAGCCAATGCCGACGGCATTTTTACGACACAAAATCTATAGGGATGGCGGGAGTAGTTCCAGCTACCGATGCTTTTCCTTTCTTTCAGAACTCTGATTTTGAATAGAGCTAATAAAAGGGAATGAGGTGGGTTTTACTCTGTCCAGGGAAACATTTTCAAAAGCTTTTCAGAAGTGTTCAGTACAGATTTCTCTCACCAGTTCGGAAAAGATGAGATAGAAATAATGACTCGAGTTCACAACGGCTCCACTTCATCGAATATCGAAGAACTTCAGGGCATTTCCACTAACTTCAGGAAGATTGCAAGAACTTTACAGCTGTTGCCAAAATTTCAGTTATAAGTTTGAAAATCTTTCGGGAAGCAACGTGAACTTCGGGGCTGTTTGGAAAATTTCAAGGCAATTACATGAATATCAGTAAATTAGCGAGAACTTCAGGCAAAATCCGAGAACTTCAGGTAGATTCCCATAGCTTTAGGACAGTTTAATTAACTTCAGGAAAATGATGGAAACGTTTCAAAAATTAAAGTATAGTCCATAAAACTTCAGGGAAGTTTATTACCATAAGAAAAAATGTTAGAAACGTCATAGTAATTCCAAAAAGTTTAGGGAAGTTCAAGAAGAGATTTAGAGATCTTTACGACAATTGCAGATCATCATAAGTAAATTAGCGAGATTCATAAACAAACTGCGAGGACATAAGGAAAGTTCCAAAAAATTCTGGAATATTTTGAAAATGTCAGGGCGGCTCAAAGAATTTCAAGGCGTTTCCGCTTGCTTCAGGAAAACTGCAGAAACTCATAGAAGCTAGGTGTTCAGGCAACACGTTGTCCACTATACCCCAAATCCAAATGAGCCAACTGCCCTTACGTTAAAGTAGGTTCTATGTTTGAATTGCTAAACAGACGAGCAAAATTGAATATTTCAAGCTTATTGCTCATCGCATATAAGCTTATTGCATGCTCTCAACTTAGTGTTCTAGATGCACTGATACAGTTATTAATTGAGAGCTTTTGATGTCTGTATCATTTTTGCATTTAGTATAATTGTGTGGCAAGTGCAATCATACTCTGGGAAGTCGAGAAATTTTCCAATCCCAGCCACCTTCAGCATGGTCTTGCTTTGTAACTGCGCCTTTACCGACTGAGCTAAGCAGCTTCGAGCTAACTCACATGTAAAAAACGAGATTTGCTGCGCAAGAATCTCCGGAAAATACTTTGTCAACAGATAACTCGAAGAATTTCGACGATTTGGGTGTTCGACTATTTATTCGGCAGACGCGATCGAGAGTGCGAGCCGCGATAGACGCTGAAACCCTTAGATAACATCGATTGTGGTGGTTGTGGTAAACCGAACAATGCTGAATTGTGCATGGTTCAATGTCGGGACTGTTCTCGTTGGTATCACCTTTTCTGCGCCAATGTCAGACAGTTCAGAAAGAGGTCTTTGTGCGTTCCGCGGATTCCGATCAAACAGCCAAGTTCCGTCACGAGTCGCACTACAACCTCAAGCGTACGACTGACACCAAGAAGTTCGACTTACTGAAGCAGCAAGATGGACAGGAGGGAGCGCGAACTTCGAATAGTCACCTTAGTCAACAAAGCTTCCAGGACAAAGAAAGCATAGTGCAGAACTGGATAAATTATGTAATTTCCATCACCGAGAAGATCAGTTTCGTAGAGCACTGACAGTCGTCGGAAATCCTCACGAAAGATGCTGTGCTAGACTGAACCACCCAGAGAACTTCAACCCTGGATATCTACTACCGTCGCTGCTACAGCTGATCTGCAGTGAACAAAGGCATTACGCTACGAGACGGAGTGCGGCTATTGTCCGGTCTCAACACGTAAGGGATAGCTGTAATCATATACGGTCGGCCGGCATCAAGAGAGATAGTTGAGGTGTTTTCCTGGAATGCGAGCGGGAGAGTTGGGCTAAGCGACCACGGGTCAACCTGAGCGGTGATCGAGAGATCAGTTAGTTTTGGTAGTCGTTTAGATCGGAGGTGCCAAAGCCCCAAACTGCCGGTTTAAGCCTACGACAGCTCCCGGGATGGGCAATCATGGCCTCTGGTAGTTCCTGGTCTTAAGGCATACGGACTCGGGAGAGTTTTCGGACAAAGGATCCTATCAAACGCTACTGTCAACGGTTAAACGATTTATTGATTAGAACGGCAAACAAACCTGGCTGGGCTTTGGAGGTGACGGGTGGAGGTCGGGTGATGATCTGGTGGTAGCAGGATGGTCGCCGGTAGTAGCCGGATGGCATTAGAACGACGGCCGGGTTTGCTACCGGATGAAAGCGAGTTCAGTCGAAGGGGGTGGCTGAGTGTAGCCGGATGAAGACCGAGTTACGGCCGGGTTTGCTGCCGGATGCAGGCGAGTTCGGTCGGATGCAGACTGAGTTGCAGCCCGTCGGTGGACGGATGATGACCGGGGGTTCGATCGGACGGTAGGTGCGGTGATCCCGCAATGGTAAGGCTTATCACTGTGCACATGGTCACTGATAGCCGGCTGATCGGAACAATTCGCGATGTCCAACATGCACATGCAGTAACTGACCGCAGGACGACACACGAGCACACGTTTTGCTAATTCGGTGGTTGGCTACTGACTTCCTCAGCCTCCGTTATCTGCCCACTCTCCTCCATCGTGTCACTATCTCCAGGGAGAGTTTCCGCCCACACTCTCTTCGAGTTTAGGGGATATCGCCATCACCCACATGCACTCACAGTTTAGCTGTTCGATCGTATGACCACTTATACCATCCACTTAATACTCGCTGTTCATCTGTTTGACTGTCCGTGCCATCCATTTGGAAGTCGCCAATTGTCTACGAATTCGTGCACGCCTTGTGCAGAGGAGCACCTTTGGAAATTTTGACGGGTAATGGGACGAATTTCGTCGGGCCAGAACGTAAGCAGTACGTTCACCGACACCCACACTCAGTGGAGATTTAATCCTCCATCAACTGCACACATGTGAGGCTGCTGGGAGAGAATGGTGCGTTCTTCCAAGGTTGCTTTGGGTAGCATACCAACAACGAGGAAGCTCGACGAAGAGTCTCTCGTGACACTGTTAGGAGAGGCTGAACATTTGGTGAATTCTCGACCGTTAACCTTCGTTTAACTCAACATCGAAGCAGAGGAAGCCGTGACACCAAACCATTTTCTGAGGATGAATTCCAAGGGAGTGAAGCAACTTATCAAGGATCCGGTTTGTGAAGGTGAGCGGTGTTGAAAGGAAGATACTCGGTGGTTCAGTTTCCCGTAGGGGTGTCGGCATCGGGGTCACCGGCCTACAAATGTCGGAATGTTTTCAACTACCTAACCAATACTCGGTCTTTCCTGCCGAGGCCGATAAACCCGATAGCCATATTCATGGATTCAGCCAGCGTGGTCGATGCTATTCAATCCGATACCACAAAGCACCCATGGATCCAAGGTATACAGATGAACGCGCCCTATAGGATTCGTGGTATCATTGAGGCGCTCAAGAGATTCCTGAGCATGACCTAAAGAAGTGGATCACAGCGATCATCCGGGACCAATGGACTTGGAGCCAAAAAAGAGAACCATTCATCCGAAGGGTCAAGGAGGACAGGACATATCAAGTTTTCCCACAACATCTCTGGAGCCGGTCCCTTCAGATCAATTCGTGAAACCTGTCAAGTTCCCCAATCAGTGGAACACGTGTTGTGCTGGTGCTCGAAATACCAGGGCCCACGTGACTTCTATGGGATATCAGAAAACATTTGTGACGCCCTCTCCAACGACCTCACCAGGATTGCGGCCCTCACTAGTTTCTTCGCGAAGCCGGGCTCTACAACCAAGTTTAAACCTAACAATAAACCCCGATTATTGTAGTGCCCAAGGACCTTCCAACTTAGACAATGACTACCGCCTATCCATGGAACACGATACGGAACTAGAAAAACCACAATTTGACTGAAATTTGACTCTGAATTAAGTCGTCTCCCCTCGAGAACCTCATCCTTTTTCCGGGGAACTCCTTCTGGTACAAAACTTTATCGAAATTTTTGAAAACACGTTCAAATCTGCAAACATTATTTTGCCGGTTAACCTTTTGCCCTTAGGAAGGTGGCGCCATGCTGTAAGTGTGATGTTTTGCTGTACGAGAGTAGGCTGTGCGTGTGTTTGAATCTGACGTTTGTTTTTTCGGCGGAGTTTTTTTTTATCTATAATCGGTTGTTGATCTGGCTATAACCAGGCCCAGGAGACAAT